GGTCGAGGCTGCAGTGGCTGGGAGCAGCCACTGCACTCCAGTCTGGGTGACAGAGTGGGACTCCAACTCAAAAAAAAGAAAAAAAATGTGATACATATACACAACGGAATATTATACAGCCATAAAGAAGGACAAACCTATGGACTTTGCAGCAACTTGGATGGATTTAGAGTCTGTTGTACTCAGTGATCTATCACAGAAACAAAGAGTACTATAAGTGCTCCCTCAGAGGCAGACCTTGAACAATTATCATAATACTATATGAAAGGGATTGACAGTAGTGGGAAACTGCCAGGGAGGGGGGTTGAGATTGAATAAAAGAAAAAAAAAACATGGCCTTTTGGAACACAAATCCTGGGACTGTCACTAATCAGTAACTTAACATCAGTTACTTCATCTTTCTGTGTCCTCATACATGAAGGGGATAGGTTCGATATGTACTTCCAAAGCTGCTGGCAGGCTAAATGAGATAATGTGTAGTCCCAGCTAGTCAGGAAGCTGAGGCAGAATGTTTGCTTGAGCCCGGGACATTAAGGTTAGAGTTAGCTATGATTGTGCTGCTGAACTCTAACCTCGGCAACAGAGAAAGACCTCAACTCTACAGATAAATAAATATAAATAAATAAATAAGCAAGCTGGGCGTGGTAGTGCATGCCTGTAGTCCTAGCTCTTCCAGAGGCTAAGGCAGAAGGATTGCTTGAGTTTAGGAGTTCAAGGCTGCAGTGAGCTATGATCATACTACTGTATTAGCCTGGGCAACAGAGAGAGACCCCATCGCTACAAAACATACACACACACACACACACACACACACACACACACACACACAAAATAAGGTGGGCATGGTAGTGCATACCTGTAGTCCAGCTCTTCCAGAGGCTGAGGCAGAAGGGATTGCTCGAATCCAAGAGTTCAGGGCTGCAGTGAGCTATGATCATGATACTCTTGTACTCTAGCCTGAGCAACAAAGCAAGATCCCGTCTCTACAAAGATAAAAAAATGAAAAAATAACCTGGGCTTGGTAGTGTGTGCCTGTAGCCCAACTCCTTAGGAGGCTGTGGCAGAGGATTGCTTGAGTCCAGAAGTTCCAGACTGCAGTGAGCTATGATCATACCACTGCACTCCAACCTGGGGGACAGAGCAAGACCCAATCTCTAAAAAAGAAGAGAAAGGTAATGGATATGACGTACATCACTCAGCACACTGTGAGGCTCTGTGATGGGCCCAGGGATGGGCAAGGCACTGTGGGATATCTACAAATGAACCAGACACAGCTGCACTCCCCAGGAGTGTGGAGTCTGGCAAGGAAGCGGCCCTGTGCCCCCATAACTGTCACGCATGGCAGAGTGATCTTGGCCACAAGAGAGGCACAGCAGTAACAGTTTGTCATCTTGCTGTGTGCAGTGCTGCTTCTGGGGCTTTTGGAATGCTCAGGGTGTTTACTCAGAGAGAGAGAGCAGACCCACCTGGGACTACCACAGCAGGGCCAGGCCTTGCACTGCTGCGAGTCCATGGCAGCCCACCATGGTGCAGCAGCATTTGAAGTCAGGCTCACTGCTGTCCTAGCCAGCGCCCTCCACCCTTTTATCCATTCTCAGTTCCTCAGTGACCACAGAGGTAGAGCTTCCACCTCGCATCCTTTGTGATCGCCTAGTGAAGCTCATGGCAGATAGCGCCTTGTCACTGGTGAATTTCTTATTATTTTATTTTATCATTATTATTGTTTTTGAGTCAGGGTCTCTCTCAGTCATTCAGCCTGGAGTGTAATGTGCATAATCATAGTTCACCACAGCCTCAAACTTCCTGGGCTGATGCAATCATCCTGCCTCATAAGACTACAGGTACACACCACCACACTTGGCTAATTTATTTTATTTTATTTTATGGTAGAAATGAGATGTCACTGTGTTGTCCAGGCTGGTCTTGAACTCCTGGACTCAAGCAATCCTTCCACCTTGGACTTCCAAAGTGCTGGGATTACAGATGGGAGCCACAGCTCCTGGCAATGAATTTCTGTTAAATAGAAAGCACTCTAAAAATGTATACAATTTGTGGATGGGTCACTTGCAAGTGAGATGCTATGTATGGTAAAGTATGCTTTTATGTGTTTTCATTATTTTAACTTCCACTTAAAAATGTTGCCATGTCAGTTGAGGGAAACTGCTAGGGGAGGGAGGGGTATACCTCATCAACAAGGGTACCTGCATAATCAATATTTGTATACCTAACCCTGAAGTGTACTCTACATCTTTATAATAAAAAAAAATTATAAATAAAGTGTTGCCATGTATTGGTGACTCGGTGAAATAAAAGCAAAAAAATGAAACTTACCCTTACCTCTCATTGTAAAATTCTTCATTCTGCCCAACCTGGCCACTAACCAGAATTCTAACTGGGCCCATCACCCAGGGACCACCTAGACAATATCCCTGTCTTTAGTTCTAGAATTTTTAAACTCAGACCCTTAAAGACAAAAGATAACAAAGCAACTTGTAAATCACTGGAACCTCCATATGGTCTTAATGACATACAGTTTTCTAAATTGTTTTCTTTTATATAATGTATAAATCATAGGACGTGCTTCTGAGACTCAAATGATAAAAAATGATGTTCAGACACTAACAGCTGATCTCACCTCCAGAAAGAATTGATGCATCCCTTAGGTAACGGTCCTGATTATTTCACTTTCCTGGCATCTTCCTGAGTCCACACCACCTGAGTATCCTTTTGTGTCCCATGTTTCTCATATCCTGTGCTGTTCCATACCAAACTGACCTTTCACGGTCCTGAATCAGGTATTTTACAATTGCAGCACTTTTTTCTGTGTCTTTGACTGTAGTTACTCAAGTTCAAGCTTTTAAAGTAGTGATCTTTCCCTTCTTCCTTTCTGAAAACCCTTTAGGAGGGTCCTTTTCTTCCAATATACATAGCAAATGCTGCCACAACTATCAGTTACCAAAGGAATTACTTCTCTCGTTTTCACACTGTTAATAGCTTCTTTCTGCTCTGTCCACTCTTTGAAATGCCTTCTGCTCTGTCGGTGGGAAGGGTTTTTGAGGTTATTCTAGAATTTTGAAGTATGAAAGGAATTTCCAAGTTAGGCATGACATGAAAAGCTTGTGTGTGCAGGGCTGCTGTGTAACACAATTCCAAGGAACACTACTATTCTCTTCACGGTCTATGTGAGCATTGTGAACTGGAGCCATGTGTGCACAATCTGCGTGGAAACATTAAGCAGTCCTGCTGGCCAAGGGGCAGGACTCGTTTGAGGCTATAATGTGTTCTTTGTATGCTATTGCCTTGCTCATGAAGAAAAAGGAGGAGGAGGAGAAAGAGAAAGAGGAGCAGAAGAAGGATAAAGAGGAAGAAGAGGGGAGAGAGGAGGAGGAAGAGAAAAAGAACCATAGAGCTAGGCCCTCTGCCAAACAAAATACACACTCATTCTCATTCTCTCTCTCTCTCTCTCTCTCTCTCTCTCTCTCTCGCTCTCTCTCTCTTTCTCTCTCTCTCTTAATTACTAAATAGGAGATTTTTACTTATTCTTTGTGGGAATGATTGACTCTTGCAATGTACCACTCACTGTCTTGGACAATGGTGAACAAGCCAGAAACAGGTTTCCTTCCCTTATGCAGGTCACAACTTATGATTTTGATAGAAGTGCTCATAAAGTCAACTATGATTCCATGGCAGCACAAACACTCAACACAAAGAAAACAGCTAAAATTGCCTTCATACCCTTCTCAGAAACCCACACAGGCTACCAGTTGCCTTTAATCCATTACATCACCAAGTGGCCTTTCTGTTTAGCTTTTATTTTTTCTGTAACTCCATATTTCAGCCCCTCCACACTGGAAAATCAGGCCACATCCTTGCCTTCGCAACAGCTCAAACTCTCCCAGCTGGAAGCTTTGCCTCAAGCTATTACCCTCCTTCTTCCTTTCTGCCTGCTCAAATGTGTCCTACCTTTGGCTCTCAGTTCACCTCCTCTAAGCAGCCTTCCCTGATGGAATGCACAGAGCTCCATCTCCTTGGATCTATGAATACAAATTATCCTATGCTATTTTGTGTGTAACAATGTGTTGCTGTGTAATAGTTCTCATGTGTGTCAATTTCTCTCCCCTCTCTCTCCTCTCTGTCTCTTCTCTTTCTTCTCTCTCTCTTTCTCTCTCTCTCTTCCCCCATTCTCCTCTTCCTCCCCCCACCAATATTTTTTGAGGGGGAAGACTCATTTCTAACTTCATTTGCAGCCCCCCTCCATAGCCCCCATGCCTGTGCCTAGCACACAGCGGGTGATCAATAAATCTTTTTAATAAGGAGCTGACTCACCGCCAGCACTCTGGCCCCCTTGGCTCAGGTTGTTCCAAGGCATGCAGTCTTCCAAGAAAAGCTGGCTTTCTTGGCTTCCTTCCATAGTGCTGGTATGAATTTCAATGCTAGACCTTCAAAGAAAGAAAGAAAAAAAACTCAGAAAGGGCCATCCTACCCTGGGGTAATTGTGAAAGAAACAGATTCCCAGTGGAGAGGAGTCCTAGGGGCCACTTGGATAAAATTTACACCTGTTTACTCACTTTCCTTTAGCAAAATAAAACTGAATTTCTAACCTAAGCTAACATTCACTTAAGTGCTTACAATAAGACATTTATATGTGGGTATGTGCACATATGCATGTGTATAAATATATATTAGCATATAACATATACATTTTATAGACAAATATACATCTACAACAGTCCTAGGGTTTAGGTATTATCATAAAATAGAGCATAAAATAGAGACACAGTAACCTGTCTAAAGCCACACAACTGCCAAATGGTAGAGCCAGGCTTGAGTCTGAGCTGTCTGCCTCTGCACCATATACTTCCATACTATACCTCTGGGGATTAATTTGTGTCCTTGAGTGTGTGTGAGTGTGCATGTGTATGTATATCTGTGTGTAGGTAACACAGAATAATTTTAAAGTGCAATGTTTTATCGACTTGGTATCCTTCTTGCTTTACTGTGATGAATCCTATATTGTATAATTGACAGATATCTGCTTTATAAGAATAGTGAGAACTCGGTGGAGTATTTTTCATACGTTTCTGGCAAAACTTCACCGACCTAGAATAATAGATAACTAGTTTTCAAATAATTATCTCCAAAGAAGAAATGTCTGCAGTTATACACAGAGACCCTTTCACTATCATGGTTTTCTTTTTTTTTTGAGTTGGAGTCTCACTCTGTCTCCCAGACTGGAGTGCAGTGACCGCTCCCGGCCACCACAGCCTCGACCTGCTGGGCTCCAGCGATCCTTCTGCCTCAGCCTTACGAGTAGCCGGAATTACAGGCGTGCTACCATGCCCGGCTAATTTTTTAATTTTATTGTAGAGATGAGGTCTCGCCTGCCCAGCGGGTCTCGAACCCGTGGGCTCAGGCAATCCACTCACCTCAGCCTCCCAAAGGCTCGGGATTAAAGGCTGAGATATAAAACAGAAACGTATCCTTTCCCTGTCTAGCCAATCTCTCTGCTTGGAGCTGAAGCCATTTCCCCATTAGTTGTGTTACATAAATATGTTGCATTTTAAATTTCCGTGGCTTTTCCTCTCAGCCATCCTCAGTTGATACATAAAAGGCATGAGGTAGAACTTACCCCTTAGGGATGTCCTGTGTTTTAGAATTTCTCACTTTCTGGGATGCAGATATGGATGCTGCAATGAACACTGGCCTGGCTGGTTTGACTCAAAGCAAACTGTGTCTTTATCTCTTTCATCTGTGGAATGAAGATCACAATACCTCTTGGCAGTGGGGATTGAGTCAAGGGACACCATAAATGTGGAAATATGACTAAATGGAACACTTCATACGTGTGTGTATACTTTTGACCCTGGCTGCAACTGGCAGCAGGAAGTATCTCTCTTCTCCACTTCCGACTGTTCTTTTGTGTTTCTCTCCCCTGTGCTCCTTTCCCCCAGCCTCCTCCTCTTCACTTTGGTTCCTGGGCAGCTGCTACTGTGAAGACAGTGTAGCTCCCATCTGCTTTCAGCATATGGGACCAAGGCTGTTGCTTCCAAAGTCCTTGTGTTTGCTGTTCAGAGCAGGGTGGGTTATTGTGTGGAAAGTGAGGCAGAAAACTGCAGCATGATTTAATCAATCTTTGTTAAATCTTCATGTAATATTGATGGAACCAACTGATCAGCATCTATCTACTCATCCGTCTCCCAAAGAGATAGATGGATGGATGGATGCTCATCTACCACAGAAAATTTGAGTTTCCTTACACATCTCTATAATAAAATATAAATAGATAAAGTTCAAGATCAAGGAAAGCATAGAAAGTACAGAGGACTGAGACCGAGAGGAAATTAAAACATAAATCTGCATATTAGAGGACCCATAATATTATTGCCAACCCATGATTTTGACTCTGAGTGTGCTAGCACCCAAGCAAAAGAGGAACCACTGAATTGTCCATAAAAAGAGGAACCACCCAATGTCCATAAAAAGTAGAGCAGTGGCAGGTGGACAGAATATGTCAAGCAAAGCTTTCTCTTGGCATCTAGATCTGAAGAAACTTTTTCATGTGTGTTCCTAGTAGAAGTTGGAACAGAGTATCAAGGATTCTAGACTCAACACTCATG